GCCTAAAGCCTTGTGTCCACGATGCTAGAAATTGGTCCGAGATCTCGGAGAGAGAAAGAATTAACCAATCACATTTAAACAATTTAGTCACATGATCAATGCGATTGGTCAATTCTTTCTTCATCCGAGATCTCGGACGGATTTCTAGCATCGTGGACACTGGGCTTAAGAGAGAAGTCTAGGGGTCGATTCTGTATCTTCAAACAAGATGAAAATGACAAAAGTGAGCAAATTTACTAGGTGTTGACCAATGAAATTATCAGTATTCTTGTAAATTTGCTCACTTTTGTAATTTTCACCTCGTTTCAAGATATAGAATCGATCCCCTGAGAGCGGCCATGCCCGGGATTTAGCTGTAACTATGAACGGAATCCATAGATGGTGCTAAAGATTCGAGATGGTCTTACTCCGGATCTACAATAGAGTTTTAAGCCTTAAGCCATAAGAAATGGGCGAATCACAGTCGATTATTCTCCTTGGATTCGACTGTAATTGGTCAGTTTCTTACGACTTAAGGCTTAAAACATCTATTGTAGATCCAGACTTATCCCGGTTCTACAATAGAGTTTTAAGCCTTAAGCCATAAGAAATGGACGAATCATAGTCGACTATTCTTCTCGAATTCGACTGTAATTAGTCAGTTTCTTACGATTTAAGGGTTAAAACACGTATTGTAGATCCGGACTTAACGACGCAGACACTGCCAGTACACTGTAACCAATACGATGGCAAGATTCTAATCCAGCTAGAAATCCAGTAGGAAAACAAGCACCGTATGCCGCAAACTTTAGGGCGCGTTCACACCTTGACGGAAAAGCAGAAAGCGGAAAAGCAGCAGCCAATCAGAACTTGCTCTGGTATTCGCAATTTCGGTTTTTTGTATTGCTTACTATCAGGACGAGTTGTGATTGGCCACTGCTTTTCCGCTTTCTGCTTTTCCGTCAAGGTGTGAACGCACCCTTACACCGAGCACTTGATAGGCCGGAATCAAACTACGCATTGAAGATTGAGATTGAAGATTGAAAAATTCAAATTTGACCAATCGAAACGAAAGAAGCTAAAATTTCTTTGTCCTTATTGATCAAATTTCCATCTCCAATCTTCACCCTCAATCTTCAATGCGTAGTCTAATTCCGGCCATACGCGTATTAACTAGTAACTTCCTATTAAATTATTTTAATTTCAGCAATGTATTTAAAGAATGATGTACTAAATTAGTAGAATATGCATCAAAATGATTAATTAAATACACATATCATGTATATGTTTACACGTTTCGCCGAAATTAAGATAATTCAATAGAAAGTTACTAGTTAATATCCGTATCAAGTGCACGATGTAGGCTGCGGTCGACTTGACGCTACAAAAAAAAAACGCTTCGAAGCGTTTGAGCGACCAATCAGAACAGAGAATTTTACGAATTGACTAATCAAAGAATGGGTGCATTCAGTACCACGACCGCTCACTGAGCGCTCAGTGAGCGCTTGTATCTGTTTGGTCTATATTTTTAGTTCTAACGAAATATGCCAATCAGATGCAAGAGCTCACTGAGCGCTCAGTGAGCAGTTGTAGTACTGAATGCACATTGCTTCGAAATATTTGTAACATCAAGTGGACCGCAGCCATAAACTAGACATCTTATAGGATCTCTAATTTCGTATTTCTGTGGATTCGCAGTGGCCAGTAATTCGCATTCGCAGTCCATCATATTCCTTAGGGAGTGTTGTTGGGTTTTGCATGATCTGTGATCTTACATGGTTTTACAATAAAGTTCCACTTGGTTTTCATTTCGATTCGTATGTTTATGATAAACAATTCTTGTATTGAAAATAAGATGCGATAAAGTGTAACTAAAATTGCAGAAATTTGTAAGATAAAATGTTTTTATCACATTTATGTGACAAAATGTTATAACTAAAATTGCAGAATTTTCTAAGAATAATGTAATTATAATTGATTATAGTTATAAAAAGCTAAGATGTTTTTTTAAGATACCAATGTCTTTTCATTATGTCGCTGTAAGTTTTATTTAAATAAA